GTATCTCTGAGCCTGTTTACTGACAAAAGGGGATAATCGCAGGCCCTCTCTCACAGGGCTGCTGAGAGAGTTAAATGAATTAATTAAAGTTGTTTGGGATGTTGCCCGGCATCAAGGAAGAACTGTATCATTGTTAGACCTTACGATGAACAGAACAGGGCCCCGGGGCCCAGGGAGGCCAGACGCCGCCAGCCGGAAGCCTCAACCCGTTCTCAGGGAAGCTGGGGTCCGGCTCCTCGGCCCGCTAGACTGGGGTCCCAGGTTCCAGAACCCTCCACACTCACCTAAAGGCACCCCAGATGCAACTTGCAGCTCAATGTCACCCTCAGCAAAGATACCAGAGTCGGACAGGAAGCGGAACTATGACCAGCCGGAAGCTGAGCGAAGTGAGGACTAGGGGAGTCTTTCCAGAGGCTAGAGCTCCCTCGTAGGGGGCGGCCACCGAAGCCATTCAAGCCACGCCCAGCAAGAGAACTACGACTTTCTATTGAGTTGAATGCTTGTTCATCATCACTTCTGGCCCAATCGTGAGCTTGCGCGGCTGGGGCTTGGGCGCCTGTGGTTACCGGGTCTTGTTCCAGAGAGCGTTACAGATCCCTGGGCTGGCTGGAGGGTGGGTGCGGGTAAAAATGTCCCAGAGAAACTACTTTTATTCATACAAGAAATATTTATTGAATGCTTTTTCTGTGTCAGTTATTTCTTTTCTTTAAAAATGTTTTTTCTTTTAATTTTTTTTTTTTTTTTTTTTTTGAGACGGAGTCTCGCGCTGTCGCCCAGGCTGGAGTGCAGTGGCGCGATCTCGGCTCACTGCAAGCTCCGCCTCCCGGGTTCACACCATTCTCCTGCCTCAGCCTCCCGAGTAGCTGGGACTACAGGCGCCCGCCACCGCGCCCGGCTAATTTTTTGTATTTTTAGTAGAGACGGGGCTTCACCGTGGTCTCCATCTCCTGACCTCGTGATCTGCCTGCCTTGGCCTCCCAAAGTGCTGGGATTACAGGCGTGAGCCACCGCGACCGGCCCTTTTTAAACTTTTTGAGACAGGGTCTTACTCTATGGCCCAGGCTGAAGAGCAGTGGCGCGATCTCAGCTCACTGCAACCTCCACCACCTGGGTTCAAGCGAGTCTCCCGCCCCAGCCTTCCGAGTAGCTAGGATTACAGGTGAGCGCCACTACTCCTGGATCCATATATATGCATTTTGTAGAGATGGGGTCTTGCTATGTTACCCAGGCCGGACTCGAACTCCTGGTCTCAAGCGATCCTCCCGCCTCGGCCTTCCAAAGCGTTAGGATTACCGGCGTGACCCACTGTATTCGGTCATTAGGCACTTCTATAAGGGTTGAGAAAGCACGCTGCACAAAACGCAGAAATCCCTACCCTTATAATATTAAATAATTACAGCGCCAATTGTTAGGGGATTGAAAACGAACCAATCTCTCCCCAGGCGTCACTCGTCAGGGCATTAGGAATGCCCAGATTTTACCTCCCTGCTGGTTACCATCTTTTCCCAAACCTCTGAAAGCACAGATTAACAAAGATTTGAGTGGCCAAGGGCTCAAGAACCAGTGTTGCATCCCAGGCAGGTGGGGTTAGGAGTTAAAGCTTGGATCTATGAAGGGTCTGGCAGAAAGGATTCCGTTTGGGAAAATGGCTAACTCTGTCCTTCTGGCTACAGAGTTGTCCTTGTTTCCGATCTTTCTGTCACACCCGATAGCTGACCTATCAAGAAATCCCATTGGTTCTGCCTATAAATATATCCATAATCTTCCTCTAGCACATTTGATTTAAGCCACCATCACCTTCAGACTGGACTATTTTTTTTTTTTTTGAGACAGAGTCTTGCTCTGTTGCCCAGGCTGGAGTGCAGTGGCCGGATCTCAGCTCACTGCAAGCTCTGACTCCCGGGTTTACGCCATTCTCCTGCCTCAGCCTCCGGAGTAGCTGGGACTACAGGCGCCCGCCACCTCGCCTGGCTAGTTTTTTGTATTTTTTAGTAGAGACGGGGTTTCACCATATTAGCCAGGATGGTCTCGATCTCCTGACCTCGTGATCCACCCGTCTCGGCCTCCCAAAGTGCTGGGATTACAGGCTTGAGCCATCGCGCCCAGCCTAGACTGGACTATTGCAGCAGCCCACTCCCTGGTCTCCTGGCTTCCAGCTGCCCTCTGCAGTATGTCCACCCAGCCAGAGGAACACGGGTCTGACTTTTAGTCTAACGCCAATGTCCTTATAAATGATCTACACAATTTGGCCCTTCTCCTCTCTCCTCCCCTCCCCTCCTCTCCCCTCTCCTCTCCTCTCCTTCTTGAAACTCAGTCTCACTCTGTCGCCCAGGATAGAGTGCAGTGGTACTATCTTGGCTCACTGCAACCTCCTCCTCCTGGGTTCAAGTGATTCTCCTGCCTCAGCCTCCCGAATAGGTGCAATTACAAGTGCACACCACCACTCCCAGCTAATTTTTGTGATTTTGGTAGAGAGGGATTTCACCATGTTGGTCAGGTTGGTCTTGAACTCCTGACCTCGGTCTTGAACAGGTGATCTGCCCACCTCGGCCTCCCAAAGTGCTGGGATTACAGGCATGAGCCACCCCACCTGGCCAATTTGTCCTTTTTTAGACAGAGTTTCGTTCATGTTGCCCAGGCTGGAGTGTAGTGGTGCGATCTTGGCTCACTGCAACCTCCACCTCCCAGGCTAGAGCGATTCTTCTGCCTCAGTCTCCCGAATCACTGGGATTACAGGCATGCGCCACCACACCTGGCTAATTTTGTATTATTAGTAGAGATGGGGTTTCTCCATGTTAGTCAGGCTGGTCTTGAACTTTTGACCTCAGGTGATCTGCCCGCCTTGGCCTTCCAAAGTGCTGGGATTACAGGTGTGAGCCACCGCTCCCAGCTATATCTGTTCTTTTAAATTATATTTACCTCTTTTTGCCTCCCTCAATAGAAAAGAATCGTCATAAAGGAAGAATTTTTGTCTGCCTTATTCACCATTGTATCTAAAGCAGTGCCTGGTACACAGGAAGTACTCTATAAATATTTGCTGAATGCAAGAATTTCTTGTGGAAATGAAGGAAGCATTTGGGGACTAGGAGAGGGAGCTATGAAAGAGAACTGCTTTCCTTCCTCCCCTATCTGGCCTCTAAAGCTTCTCCCACACCATCTGAGGTGCAGTGTCCAGATGGAACTGGGTTAGGGACCTCTTCTTACACATTCTGTGTCCATCAACATTGTGGTTATTTGTGGAATTACCTGTTTACATGCATGTATTCATCCCCTGCAATGAGGTCTTCCTAAAACCCAAATCCCTCTCCCTGCTTAAAACACCTTGATGGGGGCCAGGCATGGTGGCTCACTCCTATAATCCCAGCACTTTGGGAGGCCAAGGCGGGCGGATCACCTGAGGTCAGGAGTTCCAGACCAGCCTGACCAACATGGTGAAAACCCCATCTTTACTAAAAATACAAAAATTAGCTGTGTGTGGTGGTGTGTGCCTGTAATCCCAGCTATTTGGGAGGTTGAGGCAGGAGAATTGCTTGAACCTGAGAGTCGGAGGTTGCAGTAACCTGAGATTGCATCACTTCACTCCAGCCAGAGTGACAGAGTGAGACTCCATCTCAAAAAACAAACAAACAAAACCCTCGATGGCTCTTCAGGAGCCCTGGAGACAAAGTCTGGGCTCCTCACCATGGCCCACAGATCCTTTATGAATTGGTCCCTGTTGCTGCTGTAGCCACATTTATTTTTAATTTATTTTTAATTTTTTTTTAATAGAGATGGGGGTCTCCCTTATGTTGCTCAGGCTGGTCTGGAAATCCTGGCCTCAAGCCATCCTCCTGCCTCAGCCTCCCAAAGTAATGAGATTACAGGTGTGAGCCACTATGCCTGGCCCACATTGATAGTTTTGAGCAGTGGTATGAGATCGTCCACCTCTGGACCTTTGATCTTGTTCCTTCTGCCTGAAACATTCTTTGCCTACCTGACTTCTCAAATCAGCTGTCTCCTCCTCCAGGGAGTCCCCCCTGACCCTTCTCCTCCTGGGCTAGGTCAGGTCTCTCCTTTTGGCCTCCCTTGATCCCCTGGAGTCTTCTCATCCCAGCTCAAAACATTCTGGTGATGGGTCTGTCTTCCCACTGGACTGTGAGCTCCCTGAGGGTAGGGTCCACGGCTGTCTTGGTCCCTGCTCTATCCCCAGCATCGCCCACAGGATGACCACACAGCAGGCTCTCTTTAGGAGCTCAGTGGCTCTCAGAATGGTGTAGGCTGTCTTTAGAGTGTTGGTCTGAGTCCTGTGTCGAGCTTGGAGTGGGGAAAGGGTGAGTGGTGTTGGGGTGCAAGCACTAGTTTTAATTCCTTGACGATCCCTTGCACGGGGAGGACACACAGCACAGTAAGCCATTTTCGGAGTCTGAGTCTTCTCTTTAAGGGGACACAGCAGATATACTCTCATGATTGGGTCTGATTCCTTTACAAGTCCCGACACAGGGCAGGCACACAGTAGGCCCTATGGGCTTTGGGTTTAGTTTTTTTGCCTCTCTCATCACAGGGCAGGCACATGGCAGGCTCCCTAAGGGTCTAGGTCTCCTTTGGTCATTGCCCAGCACTGGAGGTAGGTGATTCGTTATCCCAAAACTAACCACGGAGGTGGGTGGTCCGCGAAGACTGCGGAGGGAATGAAAACTGAGTCGAGAGGCGGGGCCTAAGGGGGCGGGACCCGGGAAACTGACAGCGAGGGGCGGGGCTTAGGGACCTAGGCGCTTAGGAGACTTGGGGCTGGTGGCCCGCACTCCAGGGTCTTCGGGGAGGAGACGACTAAGGCACTACAGTCTTTTAGGGAGCAAAGATCCAGGCTCCTGGATTATGTGAGAGGAAAGAGATGAAGGCCCAGACGCCTGGGGTCTTCGAGGTGGGGAGGCCAAATTCCAACATGTGGAGCTGCACACTTAGGCTCCCTAGCGCGTGTAGTCAGTATCAGCGGGAAGAATGCAGCAGAGGAGCACGCGCCAAGAGGTCTGACCGGTAATTTTTATTGTGTCTCTGCTCCCCTTCCGCCCCCCGCACAGTTCGGATAGGCTAGGCTGGGCACGCGGCCCCCGAAACGGTACGTGTACTTGCGCCCCCCGCTCTTGCGCACGATGTCGCGGCGATAGTAGTAGCGCAGGCCTCGGCTCAGCTTCTCGTAATTCATGCCCGGCTTTCTCTTGCGCTCGCCCCACAGCCGAGCCACCTAGGACAGAGGCCGGGCTCGGTCGGAGTGGGAAGGGGCGGGGCTTGGCAATAGTTGGGCGGGCCGGGCCTGGGGGCGGTGTGCGGTGCAGACCTGGGCCAGGCCCCGCGGAGCCGGGTGGAGACTGGGTTGGTTGAGGCAGAAGTCCAGGCGGGAGATTGGGTTTGAGAAGGGTTGGGCGGGGCCCCGAGTGGGCCGGGGAGGGGCGGGGCCAAGGCCTAGGCGATTGAACCTAGCCCTTGGGCGGGGCTAAATTGAACCAGAGAAAACGGAGCAGGATTTGGCTGGGCGGGGGAGCTGCCCCACCTCTTTGGGGTCGCACAGCTGGAACTCGCGGCTGTTGCCAGTCCAACGGATGCAGCTGCTACGCGCCCCGTCGTGCAGCAGCTCCAGGAGGAACTGCCACAGCTGAATGGGACCTGCGGGATGAAGGGAGGGGCACACTCAGTCTTCCTGGCCCTAGATCACACCACTTCAATGATCTAGAGGTCCGGGTCCTCCCAACTCGGGACCCAGGAGTCCGGATCCTCCCCTTCTCTGAGATCCACGAGTTCAAATCCCTCTATATAGGGGACCCAACAGTCAGTCTTGGAGACTCAAGCGTCCAGGGCCCCAGTCTCAGAGATTTAGGAGTTTGGCCTCCCCATCTCGGAGACCCAGGAGTCTGGGCCTTCATCGCTTTCGTTTTATATAATCCAGCAGCCTGGGTCCTCCTCACCCCCTTGGTCCCTATAAGACTACCAGTGCCTTAGCCCTCTGGAGGAGAGGAGTGCGGGCCACCGGCCCCTCCTCCCTCGAGTCCATGGTCCCTAAACCCCGCCCCCTCGCTGTCAGTCTCTCGGGCCCCGCCCCCTTAGGTGCCTGGGTCCCAGCTCAAGACTCCAGCTTCGCCCTCCCTGCAGTCTTTGTGGTCTTCTCACCTCTGTGGTTACTTTTGGGGCATCGAGCCAAACTGGCACGGTCCGACTGCGGGCTCGGTTCGGAGAAAACGGTGAGAGCTGAGCTCTGGTACCCTTTCAAAGAGGTGGTGCCATCCGCACGCAGCCCCGGGTTCCAGGAGGTGGTACAGTCCGGGCCCGCGGGCCCGCCCCACGAAATGGTACAGTCCGTGCGCGGCTCCCCGCCCAGGCCACTGCCCCAGTAGGTGATGTTGGGGCCCACAGAACAGTTCCAGGTGGTGTTGCTCCCGGCCGCCTGGGCACACGACCACGAGGTGGCCCCTCCCTCCGCGGGGATGCAGTTCTGGCCCGCGGCGCCTTCGGAGCCGGCAGCAGGGGCGGGGCCTGGGCCGGGAGGGGCGGGGCCTGGGCCGGGAGGGGCGGGGCCCAGCGTCTGCGAGGCGCCACTCCAAGAGTCCCAGGGTGGGCACGCCACGTCTGTCCAGTCCCCTGACCACGGAAGAGCCTGAGAGTCGGGCTCTGTGAGGAGTAACGGACCCTGAGTGAGGGGAGCCCAGGTGCACCCTCAAAATCTCTAGGGGTCTAAGCTCTCAGTCCTGGCACTTGGGGCCGGGCTGTCCCTGATCCAGGCCATGCCACCTTGAGAGCGCAGGTGTTCTCAGTCCTCAAAGATCAGGGAGTCTACACCTCCAGCCCTGGTGCCTCGGGACCCCAGTCCCCTCCTCCCACCGCCTCTCCCCACACTCACCCGCCCCCCATGGAACTTCTGGGTGCAGTAACGCGGAGCCCCAGTCCAGCTGTGGGAAGCTTGTCAGGGATGAGCTTGTACCTGAGTTTATGGAGGAGTGTGAGCAATGACAGAGAACCCTCAACTACCCACTCTCTGGTCTTTACTTGTCAGGGACTGGGAGTTATGACCCCCCAGCCCCTATTTCAGCACCCCACGCCCCCTTTTCCTTCACCCTCAGGGAGTCAAGCACGCGGCCCCTCCCCACCCAGTCCCAGGAGCCTAGGCACGCCCCCCTCCTCCCTTTTCCCTAGGATTCCACCCCTCCCCGCTTCTTTTCCAGCACTCAGAGGTCCCAGCCCGCAGCCACCTTTCCAGCATGTCTCTGCTGTCGCTGTCGGCGTGTCCCCTTGGAGTGCCACATCAGGGACATAGAAGCCTAATTCGGCTCCTTCTGCAGGCGATAAGGGTTTAGGGTTAGCACAGGCCCCACCTGGACACCCTCCCCACACACGTTGTGGCAGCCCCGGCAGCCTACCCAGCCCTGGCAGCCTACCCAGCCCTGCCAGCTTGTTCCCTGGAGGCACTTCCTGTGGGGATGCCTCATCCCAGTTCCACAGGTCCATGGATGCGATGCCTTCTGAGTGTTCTGGGTCGGGAAAAGTCCAGATGGCAATGGGTGAGCTGGTGACACTTGGAGGCCCTGGAGTCTGGACCCCAGCCCTGGCTTCCCTCACAGCCAGGAGTCCAGGCCTCCGCTCCCTCCTTCCCCAGGAGCCTAGAATCTTGGTCCCGGGAGTGAAGGACCCCAGCTCTCTTCCTCTCTCAGACCCAGGAGTCCAGGCCCCTGGCCTCTTGGGAGTCTAGTCCCCAGGTCCTTCCTAACCCAGACACCCAGGCATTTAGTCCTCAGTTCATGGCTCACCTCTGGCGTGTTCCTCTGCCCCCAGCCGGGGGTCTCAGCCCCATTTCATACCATGCACCCCCTCCCCCAAGGGCCCGGGCAAGGGGGAATTTTCCGAGACGTCAGAGCAGGGGTCGCAGCCAGGCTCAAGTTGCAGGGGCAGGGGCGGGGCCGAGCCGCGACCCCCGCCTCGGGGATGGGTGCTGGCCTCTGGGGCTGCCCTGCTGCAGGGGTGGCGTGGGCTTGGAGCGGGGCTTGGGGAACAGCGGGCTGGGTGAGGGCGGGGCGGAGGCTGGAGAAGTTTACGGGGTGATGGGGGCGGGGCGGGGGGCTTGGTGAACAGGCTCTCTGCCTCAGGGTCTTGATCCTGCGACATGGGGGGAGTGAGGGAAGAGGGTCTGGGGTCAGCTGGGCTGAGCTGGGCTTATCTGCAACAGGAAGAGGGATTTCCGGCCAGATTCCCCCACCCGCCCCCAGAGTCAGCTGACGTCACAATCGGCAGAGTAACTGCAGGGGGTGGAGCAGGAGTGAAGGCCGACCCAATCCCCCACCGGGCCCCTGGGGGCTGCTTCCCAGGAGTGCCAATCATAACAATATTGACAAAAACAATTTCAACAATAACAATAGTAGCAATAATAGCCAACATTAAATGAGGGCTCATTGTGTGAAACCAACTGTGCCATGCGCCTTCATTGCATCCTTCTATGAGGCAAGTACAATACATACTCTCATTTGATGAAGGGGGAAATTAAGGCAGGCATCCTCCCACTGCCCTTCTCCAGACCCCATGCCTTCCGTGCTGTAATAGTTTAGGACAATTGGGGAAATTGGAGTATGAACTGAATATGAAATATCATAGAATTATTTTCTTAGGTTTGATAATGGTATTCAGGATGAAATATCATTTAGGAAATGAACTCAGAGATGAAATGTTATAATGTCTGTAACTTGTGGTTGGGTGCGGTGACTCACACCTGTAATCCCAGCACTTTGGGAGGCTGAGGCAGGTGGATCATCTGAGGTCAGGAGTTCGAGATCAGCCTGTCCAATATGGTGAAACCCCGTCTCTACTGAAAATACAAAAAATTATCTGGGCGTGGTGGCGGGTGCTTGTAATCCTAGCTACTTGGGAGGCTGAGGCAGGAGAATTACTAGAACCCGGCAGGTGGAGACTGCAGTGAGCGGAGATCGCGCCATTGTACTCCAGCCTGGGGAACAAGAATGAAACTTCACCTCCAAAAAAAAAAAAGTCTGTAACTTGCTTAAATAATTCAGCAAAAAACAAAAAAAAACCCAGCTATACATGTAACATATACATACATACATGAAATATTTAGGACATGCCTAAACTATAAAATAGTTCATTTAAATTCAATAACTGGGTGTCCTGTATATATATAATATTTTTCCAGACGGAGTCTTGCTCTGTAACCCAGGCTGGAGTGCAGTGGTACGATCTCAGCTCACTGCAACCTCCACCTCCCAGGTTCAAGCAATTCTATTGCCTCAGCCTTCCAAGTAGCTGGGATTACAGGCAAGTGCCACCACGCCCAGCTAATTTTTTTGTATTTTTAGTAGAGACGAGGTTTCACCATGTTGGCCAGGTTGTTCTCAAACTCCTGACCTCAGGTGATAGGTCCGCCTCGGCCTTCCAGAGTGCTGGGATTACAGGCGTGAGCCACCGTGCCTCGCAAGTGTCCTATATTTTTATTCGCTAAGTCTGCAACCCTTAACCCAGGTAACTTGGCTTCAGACTGTGCCCATCGTGCTATAGTTTTTTGTTTGTTTTTGTTTTTAGTTTTTGAGACAGTCTTGCTCTGTCGCCCAGGCTGGAGTGCAGTGGCGCGATCGCAGCTCACTACAAGCTCTGCCTCCCGGGTGGGCATTCTCCTGCCTCAGCCTCCTGAGTAGCTGGGACTACAGGCGCCCGCCACCACGCCTGGCTAATTTTTTTGTATTTTTAGTAGAGACGGGGTTTCACCATGTTAGCCAGGATGGTCTTGATCTCCTGACCTCGTGATCCGCCCATCTCGGCCTCCCAAAGTGCTGGGATTACAGGCCTGCCACTGCGCCCAGCCTTTTTTTTTTTTTTTTTAAGAGATAGAGTCTCTCTGTCACCCAGGCTGGAGTGCAGTGGCACGATCTCAGCTCTCTGCAACCTCTGCCTCTCAGGCTCAAGTGATTTTCCTGCCTCAGTCTCCCAAGTAGCTGGAATTACATGTGCACACCACCATGCCCGGCTAATTCTTTTTTTTTTTTTCCACCATGCCCGGCTAATTCTTTTTTTTTTTTTTTTTTTTTTTGACAGGGAGTCTCGATCTGCAACCTCTGCCTCCCAGGTTCAGGTGATTCTTCTGCCTCAGCCTCCCGAGTAGCTGGGATTACAGGTGCCCGCCACCACGCCTGGCTAGTTTTTGCATTTTTAGTAGAGACAGGGTTTCACCATGTTGGCCAGGCTGGTCTCGAACTCCTGACCTCAAGTGATCCACTTGCCTCGGCCTCTCCAAGTGCTGGGATTACAGACGTGAGCCACCATGCCTAGCCTAATTTTTGCATTTTTAGTAGAGATGGGGTTTTGCCATGTTGGCCAGGCTGGTCTCAAACTCCTGGCCTCAAGCTATCCACCTGCCTTAGCCTTAGTGCTGGAATCAGAAGCATGAGCCACTGTGCCCAGCCCATCCTGCTGTATTTTAATAAGTACGTAATATTTACCATTAAAAATAACTTTTGCATATAGGCATCTTTCAATCCCCACGCAGCCTGTTGATCATTAACTACTTGCTGTTCTGGAGATCAGGGGGCACTGCTCCTCCTTCCATTTTACAGAAAGTAAACTGGGCTCCATGGGGTCCCATTGGGTGGGAGTGGGACTGGGATGGAATCAGTGTGGGGTGAGCCACAGAGCCCTGGAGCATCACTGGTCCCTCTATCCATCCAGTGCAGGGGCCTGAAGGGAGTCCTGGCTTCCTGTCCTTGAAGCTGGCCTCTTGTCTGTCTTTCCATGTCTCCCTGCCCTCTTTCTTCAGGTTGGCATCTCTAAAGCTGGGTCTCTGTTGCCATGGGCCTGACTCCAGTGAGGCTTTGTCACTCAGTCTCTTCTGACATCTCTGTCCCTCCCCATCTGTCTTTGAGTGTTCCTGTCTCATCTCCTTGTCTGTCTCCATCTGTCCCTTGGTTTTCTCCCCGTCTCCCTTCCCACTGCACAGTCTCTGATGGTTCTCATCTCTGCCTGAGCCTCCTGCTCACAGCGCCATCTCTACCTCCACCTGCCGCATTCTGTGTGTGTCTCTCCCTGTTCTCAGGAAGACTCATGTACATTAAAAAGAAAAAAAGATAAAACATTTAGGGGGTACAAGTGCAGATTCCTTACTGGATACATGTCACGGTGAGGCCTGGGCCTTTAGTGCACCCGAATAGTGAGCAACGTACCCAACTGGTAACCGTTCAGTTTCCCCCACGCTCCTGCCTTTTGGAGTCTGCAGTGCCTGTTGCCCCACTCTGCATGTCCACCTGTACCTACTGTTCTGCTCCCACTCGGAAGTGAGAATCACATGCATTTGGAAGCGTCCTTTCTGGAGCCATCCTCTCTTCCCATCTCCTCCCATGCCCCTATACTTGCAGTGATCACAAGGGGGGTCAGGGGTAGGAAAGACTAGTGATGGGGGGAAGGGGCTTTGAGGATCCTGGGGCTGGGTGGTCTGGCCCAGGTGGCAGGGGGCTAAAGGGCACTTCCTGCCAGGGAGGGAGGCGCTCAGCGTCTGACCGGACTGGAAAATGTGACGTCAGAGAGGGGGCAGTAAGGCAGGGAAGACAGGAACAGGAGAAATTCGACACCTCTCCTGGGGGACCTCCATCCCTGAGAGGCCTTGGTATTGTCCATCCCCCAACTTATGCCCCACAAAGTCCTGCCCAACCTGCTCCCTCCTAATGGAGAGTTCTGATGGCTGTGTCCCTGGGAGACCCCCTCTCCCCATACTCAGACCCTGCCATCTCCCTCCTCTGGCCCCAGCCTCCTTCCAGACTTCCAGCCACAGTGGTGGTCGCAGGGCTTTTTTTTTTTTTTTGGAGACAGTCTCACTCTGTCACCAAGGCTGGAGTGCAGTGGCACGATCTGGGCTCACTGCAACCTTTTACGGGGTTCAGGCGATTCTCCTGCTTCAGCCCTCCCAAGTAGCTGGGACTACATGTGCCCACCACCATACCCAACTAATTTTTGTATTTTTCAGTAGGGATGGGGTTTCACTATGTTGGCCAGGCTGGTCTTGAACTCGTGACCTCAAGTGATCTGCGTGCCTTGGCCTCCCAAAGTGCTGGGATTACAGGCCTGCGCCACCGCGCCCAGTACACATCTGTGCTGCCTAGGACCTTGCTGCTGCTTGAATTTTCTGATTTTTGGGGTTTGCTGCTGCCTTCTACATAAAGCTTAAGCTCTCAGCCTGGCATTCAAGTCCCTGCACAGACACCTCTTCAGACAGGCAGAGGCCAGCTTGGAGCTGGGAAAAGAGGGGGACAGACCCCGAGTCTCTGTACTCTCTCTCCATCTGTGGGTCTCTCCTCCTTTTTCATTTCCCAGCTTCAAAGGAAAGAACAGAGACCAAAAGGGATATAGAGGCTTAGAGACAAGAAATGGAGGGGTACCCACAGAGACAGAGATGCAGAGGTGCCCACCGAGACTTAGAGCACGGCGAGCTGGCTGGGCGTGGCAGACTGGAGAAGCTGGAAAGCCCAAGGAGACTTGGGGGTGGACAGTTCCTTCAGGAAGGGCCCCCTCACCCACAGGTCAGTGCCCTGGGTACCCCCATCCTGCCCTGACCACTCTGGGCTCTTACTGTCAGGGCATTGAGCCTATTTTCTGCCACTGGACCTTGAGCTCTAAGGGTGCAAGGCCCAGGACTTTTAGTCACCATTGTGTCCCCAAGCACTGTTCAGACCCTTGGTGAGTCTGCTGGATAGAGGGCCTAGAAGGCTGTGAGCTCCAGAAGGGAAGGGCCTAGAAGATCTCCTACCTTAGTGCTGAGAACACAGGAGGTAGCCAGGACACAGGTGTGGGCCTCAGCTTGGCTCAACCCTTGCCACTGGCGCCCCCTTTCTCCTCTGGAATAGGCGGCACTCGGCATGTGTGGAAGAGGTTTGAAGAGGGAATGGGTGCACAGGAAGGGCTCAGAAGCCCCTGCCTGGGTGTTTGTCTGGGTAAACTCTCAAGGCTCCCCGCCATTTCCACGTGTGGGGAAGCCAAGCCCTGCTCCCCACAGCGTGCTTCCATGCCCAGCCAGGGGTGGAAATGAACATAAATTTATTGAAACTGGTTTTGGGGCAGGGGATGGGTGGACAGCTGGGGGTTTTCCAAAGAGAACTGAGGGAGGAGCCAGCGCCCGGCCAGGTGGGAGCGGGTGCCTGGCCACAGACCCTATCTGAGGCCCAGCTTCTTCTTTTCCTTCTGCTTCTTGCGGACCACGTCCAGATTCCGGTCCTTCCACATACTCTTACGAAGCTTGATGGGGCGCGAGCCCACATACTTCCCTGTGGAGACAGAGGGTTCAAGGCAGGCTTGGTCAGGCTTAGGTCAGTGCGTGCCATGCCCGCAGTCCCCAGGGGAGGCCACACCCACCATTCATCTCACGCATGGCGCGCACGTAGTCGCTGGGGTCCTTGAAGCTGACGAAGCCGTAGCCCTTGGTCTTGCCTGTGCGCTTGTCACGGATCACCTTGGCCTTAAGGAAGGATGGGAAGCGGCTGAAGGCGCGTGCCAAGATGTCATCG